CCAGGGCCCGATATCCCAGATCTGAAGTGGTACATAAGGATAGTACAGTTTTAGGGACTTGCTTTCTTCTTCTATACCTCAGATTATTCCACAAAATACTAAAACTTAACTCTGAAACCTGAGAAAAAGTGTTCCCAGAGGCACTTCACCTGTAATTGACTAAAGAAAGCATTCCATACTCCACACCACTCCTAACCCACAGAGGCCACCTGTTCACCTTTAACAGGGTTTCACGGCTAGGCTGAAAGGTAATCAGTGGACCAAAGGGACACTCCAGTTAACAGATAAGACTTGCAAATATTGGCCCTGAGTAACAGTCACGTACCATGAAACGGCTGCTATGCATGCATTATTTGAACTGAAATATGCAAGATAAATGGCTGAACATACAAATTGTTTTTCAGGGAGGAAAAAAAAAGCCATTTGCAAATGTAAATGCAAATTGAGGCCATACAGGCATGAATTGTTCAAACAAAGCATCAGGACATTCACATTTCATCTCTTCAGTTTCAACAACTTTAGAGATGCTCTTAATGTGGGCATGAATATTTTATGTGTGTGTTTTGAAGAAGGTAGTGTGTTACCTTTCTTAAATTCTCTATCAATGGCAGATTGCAGCAGACATTTTTTTCTCTCTCTCTCAACTGCATAAGCTTTGCTGAAATTTTGAACCTTATCCTCAGCACCCAGTGAGAATGGAATTAGACAGTGAGGGAACTCAGAGACATTTCTTCTTAAAGAGTTTTTCTTTTTTTTTTAAACTCTTTAAAACAATTTTATTGGCTTCCGAAAAACATTTATTGGAATCATTAGATTTTATAGGTTTTGCTATTTTCCTTTCCAAGGCCTTCCCAGTTAGATGCCATTGAAACTAACTGCAATTTTATTGGTTGAAATGACAGGAGAAAGAATGAATTATTATGTTAAATTCCACTTTGAGCCATGTGCCTTTTCTTTTTCATTGTGGCAATGTACCCATAGCATAGGATTTGCCATCTTAACTATTTTTAAGTGTAAGTTTCACGTTCACATTTTATTCACATTTTATTCACATTCATGTTGTCCTTCATCACTACCATCGTCCCCGGAACATTTTCATCTTCTAAGATGAAATTCCATGTCCATTACATAGAGCCTATATTTCACTTTCTCTCTCATCTGGGTGAATTCGACTACTCTAGAAACCTCTTGGAAGTGGAAGCATAGAACATCTTTTTTGTGACTGGCTTATGTCAGTCACCATAATGACCTCAGGGTTCGTGTGTGTGACATGTGTTGAAATTTCCTTTCTTTCTTAGGCTCAACATGGTTCTATTAATGTCCACACTGCATTGTCTTCATCCATTCTTTCACCCATGAACACGTGAGTTGCTTCCATTTTTTGGTATGGTGAATAATGTTGCTAGGAACGCTGGTGTACAAACATCTCCTTGAGAACTTCCTTTCAAATCTTTGGGATATACACCAAGAAGCAGAACTGCTGGATCTATGATATTTCTATTTTCAAGTTTTTTGAGGAAGGAATACATGATTTTCACACAGTTCCTGCAGCATCAACAATGTGCAAGTATTCAAGTTTCTCCACATCCTAGCCAAAACCTTGTTATTTTACCATTGTTGTTGTTTAATAGTAGCCATCTTAATGGTGGTACCTCACTGTGATTTGGATCTTCATTTCCCTAATTATGAGTGATGCTGAGCTGCTTCTTAAGTGCTTAATCACCAGTATGTCTTCTCTGAAGATATGTCTATTCAAGTATTTGCCAATATTTTAATCAGATTGTTTGGATTTTTATTGTTGAGTTACAGGAGTTCTTTGAGAGTCCAACTCCATTATTTTCCATGTGGATGTGTGTGTGTGTGTGTGTGTGTGTGATGTGATTATCACATGATTTTCATTATTCATAGAGATTATTATTTTATTTAGTCATCGCAAACACTGAATTAGCGAATATAGAACCACTGCTCTGAGAAACTGAAGGCTTAGCTTCCTGTGAAATTCTGGTCACAACGTTTTTATCAACAGGTTGATACATTACTTTGTTCAGGGGTGTTTCTGTTTAAAGGTATTCTATTGAGTCTATATTGTCAATTCATTAATACTGAGCTAACATCCAACAGCACTATATACTTACACCTAAATGAAGCTGGTCTAATACACATACTTTCTCCCAGAGGGAAATCACAGTCCTCTAGCACTTAGAAACACTAAACAGCAGTCAGCATGTGCTTGGGAGCCAATTTAAACAGCAAAACCACCACCAAAAAGCACAAAAATGTGAAAAATGTGGCACTAAATAGAATGTGAAAGGAACACATGTTTACAACTGGAAAGCAGAAACAGAAAGGCAAAGCACTGCTTTGTTTGACTTCAGTTGAGAACATGCACATCCATCCATCAACTTAAAAGATTTTACTGCTCAGCACATGTCCATAATGACCTTGAAAGTAGCACAACTATTATTTTGGGATTAGAAAATTTGTATTTGTGTGTGTGTGTGTATACATACACAAACACGTATTTGTAACATATATATACACACAAAAATACATATTTGTAACATATATGTGTATATATATATATATATATATATATACACACACACACACACACATACACACACATCTATACATATATACACACAAACACATAGGTAGGTAGGTAGGTAGGTAGGTAGATTCATTTTCTGGAAATGTTGCTGTTCACACAATGAGATCTTGTCTCTTCCAGTCCAGAGGATAATTTTTAATTGAATGTATCATAGAGATCATGTAAGTGATTTTCTCATGTTATGGATGCAGGTACAGATCACAGATATATAAAAAGGAAGTCTCAGAAAAAAACAGTCTCCTATTTTCCTTATGCTTTTTTTCAGGGAATATTCTTGCAAAAGAATTTAGAATGGATGATGTTTTAGAGAACAAGCAAATGCCTGATTCTTTATCATTCAAACTATAGTCCCTTTGACAGTCATAGATTTAGCTGCAATCTAGAAGCCTATTCAGAGCTACAAAACCTAGCAACTTACTGTTCTGAATGTAGCTTGTTTGGTTTCTGGTTGGTTCCATGAATGCTTTTTAAGCACAACCTATAATACTGTATTAGATTTTGTTCGTTTTTATAATAGTATGTGCAACTAGATTCAGATCTGCATCATAACTCATGACTAGCAAATGTGGTATTTTCTACTTTTCCCTTCCAAAATGTGTCCCCAACACATGTATGTACACAGACATAAATGTTTAGACCTGGATCAGTCTCGTAGATGTAGGGGAAAAAATATATATATATATATATATTTATATATTCACCAGTGGGTGGGATCTCTTTTTCACCAAATTAAAATGTGTTCAATGTGCAAATATCTGTAATGGAAAGCATGAACAGTGGGTAGGAAAAGTTACACTTAGTCATGGTGACAATCACCACACAGCATCACACCAAAGAGAAGAATTTCATAGCTTACATATCATTTATTTTTTAATAAACAAAATCTCATTGCTCACAATGATGATTAGTGATAAATTTGAATTATCTTATTAATATTTTAATTAAAATTTATAGCTACCATAATCCACAGATTATGAAAGTTATGGAGCTATTACTCTTATTTACCTATTAATAATCACATAATAACTATCAGTGAGATATATACTTTTGTTCAGGCCAGGGCATGACATAGAATTGCTTTCAAAATTGCTTCTTTAATGTGTACTTCCTGCTGCTTTTGGATGAATTAGCCCTCATGAATTGTGGCTACTTTAAAAGAAATTCAATCAAATTTATTTTACATTGCCTTACTTTTTAGTGACCAATATTCATTGAAATATATTTTTCATTGAAATACTTTTGCTTTTTGGTACTGAATGAATAGTATGGACTTATCTTACCAATAATTACCTGTAACTATTTAAGCTTAGATGAATTAAAATTAAATTTTAAAAAATACATTTCCTCAGTCAGACTTGTCACATTTCTAGTGTTCAATAACCACGTGTGGCTAGTGGTTTACCCCATCAGACTGAGTACTATAGAGGATCACTCATTGCAGAAAGTTCTATTGGATCATGCTGATATATACATTAAAAGTTTGAATTTGAAGTCAAATAAATTCTTCAATAAGCATATGAATGTGACCCATTTATCATTTCAAAGAGTAAAAGTTAAGACTCTCTATACCTGAGGTTGGGGGTGTAACTTAGTGATAGAAAACTTTCTCAGCATAAGCCAGGCTCTGGCTTAATCCCCGATACCAAGAAAATTAAAAAAAAAAAAAACTCTATGACAAAAGGAAAAATGAAGGATCTCAATATTGTTTCATAAAATGCTAACTATCCAGATGTCTCATACCAAATTCCTTGTTTCTTTAGCTCTACTTTGCTAAATTCTCAATCAAGTTTGTATACACCCAGTAGTTATGTTGCCCATTACTGGTTGTACTTATTTCAAGAATTTTCATGGTTTCTTTCACATATCCAGCCTTTGTGCTGTATTGTGATAATCCTTAGTTACATTGCTCAGAGTGTTCATTTCAATTAGGGATTTAGCTAGCTTTCTGCAAACATCCAAATCTAATTCTAAATTGCATGGTACATAAAATAGTAACTTGTGAACATTACATATAGTCTTTTCATTCATGCTATAGGTAAATGTTGGATGCATATGTGGATAAAATATACATCATTTTATATGGTAGCATTACCTTTTAAAGACATTATATATGAAAATTTAAAATTAATGTTTTCCCTTTATTATATGTTAATTTGAAGTGTATATTAATTCTCATAAAAATTTGAATATGTACCTTGAACAGAGGAAGGATACAACTAAAATAATTCATGAAAAATAACACCTCTGCTAATGAAAACTAAATTATCACAACTGAGAGTAAAAAGAGGTAAATTTGGGTCCTAATTTAAATTTCCCCTTCCTGTCATTCATTATTTCTGGCTCTTAGTTGCAACATGACTGTTAGGCAAGAAAAATGACTAAAGCATACCTTTGGTCTTTAGTAATTCTTAAATACTGTGGCACACGTTTTGTTCAGGATGGATTCTCAAACATGGCAGGGAGGGTTGACAGCTGCCCAGGAGATCTGTAGAACAAACAAAATAATAGTTCCAAGCTGCAGGCAGCCCCAGCCAACAAGAAGGATGTTTTTTTGTTTTGTTTTGTTTTTTCGAATTTTTTTCCTACAGAGAATAGGTTGAAAAGTTGTATGGTCTTAGGGAAGAATTTGGCTTCTATAATGCAATGAGTCTGTCAAAACCTACAGCAACATCCTAAAGCATATGGCAGGAGAGACACGTTGTCCAGCAGTGGAGATGCTATTCGCATCTCTTTTTCCAAACGTTGAAACAAAGAGCCTATTTCACATTTTTCAGCAGACAGTTCTTTCTTATAAACATTAGAAACAGTACACAGAACATGTTCAAATTGTAAAGATCACTAAAATTATGTTAACTTAAGAGGGCATGCTATGAAATTGCCTAGATATTATAAGAATGCTCATTCAAATATCATTACCAACCTACCACTGAAGAATTCTTAATGCACAAGTAAAGATAATCACAATTTATAATACTAAAGAAGAGAAAAGGGATTATGAGTATTAGTTATCAAGAAGTTTTAAAAATTCTCTTCCTACTCTCTTTTGTTTCCTTGGTCAATTATTTCTTATGGATGATTCAAAAAAGAAATAGAAAAGATGGCTAGATAATTAATAAGAAAGCATGTGGGAGGGGTGAGAGAGAAGAGAAAATTGCAATGTAAATTCTATGCAATCAATAAATTGTACATTTCTACTAATATTACCCTGTCTCCAGTAACATGCTATGCCCTAAAAAAGACCGAAATTAGCAGATTAAATCTAATTGAAATAAGGATATATATGGTGTCTTTGCATGTGGATTTAATTAATTAGAAGCCATGAATAATTACATAACAAAAAGTATACATAGTGCTAGATTTCAAGTAAAAACGTGCCTTTACCATGCAAGAGTTGTTCCATTATGGTTCAGAGATGAGAAAGCCATAATTAGCAAGATTCATCTTGATGAAGGAAACAGGTATTAATTTGGCCTTGATAGATTATCCAAATACATGGGGGAAGAAGGACAGGAGAATGTCCTCCAGGGCTACAAAGAAGCGGATTCAAAGCTAAGGATCTGTGTTCAGAAGGCAGATTGGAGAATAGAACCTGCACATGTGTTACACTGTTATAGAGAATCAGGGTACAAAAGTCAGGTAGAGTCTCCTACTTGGGATTCACACAGGCCATAGAAAGCAGGCAAAGCTCTCAAAGGTAAGTGGCAGATGAAGCAGACACATTTGCCCCCTGTTTACCCTAAAGCTTCCATGAAATAAAGGCCTACAAATACAATAAAGAATAAAGCGAAACTCCAAACGACAATAATGCAGATGAAGGGTCACCACCAACTAACGAGTGATTTATTTTTTTTTTATTTTTTTTTTTTAATTTTTTTTATTGGTTGTTCAAAACATTATAAAGCTCTTGACATATCATATTTCATACATTAGATTCAAGTTGGTTATGAACTCCCAATTTTACCCCAAATACAGATTGCAGAATCACATCGGTTACACATCCACATTTTTACATAATGCCCTATTAGTAACTGTTGTATTCTGCTACCTTTCCTATCCTCTACCATCCCCCCTCCCTCTCCTCCCATCTTCTCTCTCTACCCCATCCACTGTAATTCATATCTCTCCTTGTTTATTTTCCCATTCCCCTCACAACCTCTTATATGTAATTTTGTATAACAATGAGGGTCTCCCTCCATTACCATGCAATTTCCCTTTTCTCTCCCTTTCCATCCCACCTCATGTATCTGTTTAATGTTAATCTTTTCTTCCTGCTCTTCCTCCCTGCTCTGTTCTTAGTTGCTCTCATTATATCAAAGAAGACATTTGGTATTTGTTTTTTAGGGATTGGCTAGCTTCACTAAGCATAATCTGCTCTAGTGCCATCCATTTCCCTGCAAATTCTATGATTTTGTCATTTTTTAGTGCTGCGTAATACTCCATGGTGTATAAATGCCACATTTTTTTTATCCATTCATCTATTGAAGGGCATCTGGGTTGGTTCCACAGTCTAGCAATTGTGAATTGTGCTGCTATGAACATCGATGTAGCAGTGTCCCTGTAGTACGCTCTTTTAAGGTCTTCAGGGAAAAGTCCAAGAAGGGCAATAGCTGGGTCAAATGGTGGTTCCATTCCCAGCTTTCCCAGGAATCTCCATACTGCTTTCCAGATTGGCCGCACCAGTTTGCAGTCCCACCAGCAATGTACAAGAGTACCCTTTTCCCCACATCCTCTCCAGCACTTGTTGTTGTTTGACTTCATAATGGCTGCCAATCTTACTGGAGTGAGATGGTATCTTAGGGTGGTTTTGAAAAAATGTCTCACCATCAGCAGTGGGCAGGTCCCTGTCTAGCCTGCTATACTGTTGCAAGTCAGTTCACCTGTGAGGTCCTGATGGGGCTGTGGGTCCAGTCAATCAGCAGGTACTTGTGAGGACTGAGTTTGAGACAGATGTGGAGCTGCAGAGAGAAATTAATAGAACCAGCACTTATATCCCTCAATCCTATCCAAAAGGGAAAGCAAATAAAAGCTAATATTACCCCGTGTCAAAGCCTAAAAGTTCTCTAAAGAAATTGAGGGCAATGTTTGGTGAAAGCAGATGCTCCTAACCTGGATATTGACATTACAAAAAATAAATCTTCCTTTGTTCTACTATTAGAGGGATTTGCATCTGACATCTGACTCCTTGTCTACTTGCTGTGAAGGAAATCTCCTAATCAGCCTCCCGTAAAATACCTTCATGCCATATTTTGTTAGTAGGGTAGAAGACTTACTCAGGAAAAAAAAAAAGGCCATTTTAATAGGGCAGCAAATGAAATTTGCACTCAATTCCTGCCCTTTTATTTTGAAATTGAATTAATCAGAAATTGTATCAATTGCCTATTAACATCTCAATGACATTTCTGCTTCTTTATGCATTTCCTAGACTGACTCAATGGGGGTGCTTGCACAAGCTGTGGAAGCCAAGAGAGAACAAGAAGTCATTCTTGCTCCTGCAACAGTGAGGAGCTCTGGCTCTGCAGACAGCCCAGGTCAGCTTTGCCAGCACTGTGTATGTACCCTATGAGTTGCTGACTGCTCAGGTTTTGCACTTGCTGATTTTCCCAACTCCAGGAACAATCATCTCCCAGAACTAAAAGTACCACCAGTATCACCAATTGTTTTGTAAAGCCTCCAAGTCTGTGTTCAGTTATTTCTTGCAAAGAGATACTCAGAGTCATTTCTCTTTTCCTGAATAAAATTTGGCTTATTCAGCAGATACATTAAGAAACTTAACAAATGAATGTAACACATGTTTTTAAAAATCAATATGAAAGAACGCCTGACACTGGAGAAAAGATAAGCTATTGAGACAATAATTGGAAAAAGATAACTTACAAGCTGAATGAATTCACTGTGCTTCCACAAATAGTAAAAATACAGCGCATCCATGGAACACAAACATGTGATGGAAAAGGGTCTCCCAAATAATTAAATACAATATCTAAAGTAAATGATTCAATTAAATAAATAAATAATGATAAAATCTAAAATAAAACATTAAGACAATGAGATTGGAAAACATAAAAAGATCAAAAAGTAGATATGTGAAATCATCAAAGAAATGATCTTAAAAACCTAAACGATAATATGTATGTGACTATTTTTGAATGCAAACTAATTTCCCAGCACAGTTAAAAAAGAAGACTCACTGCTGAATTGTTTAAAATTTATTTTTATCTAGTTGCAGGCCAGATAGACATAAAGCACTAACACGTGAAAATAGGACATGAAGCACAATATTTGTTTTATAAAAGAGAGTTTGGAGAAGCTATAAATAGACTGTTATACAATGAACCATCAAAATATTTAAGCAAAATCAAGTTACACAGGATTCAGAATTATTTTCTGTATTGTTCATTAAAACATGGACCAGATTCAATGCTTTCAAAAACTCAATATGTACTCTTAATGGAAGAAAAAAGATTTATAATTAAGGCTTAGGCAAAAATTCAATCCATTGCTTTTTACCTGTTGGTAAAAGGGTATTTTTAGAACAATGACAGTGAACCAAAGGTAAAAGAAGTGCATGTTCTTCACCATGAGAGCCAAGAAAAGAAGGACGACACTCAGTTGATGACGGAGTACAAGTTTCATCCCACATGCCAACTGCAGACTATTAGCTGTGACAGTTTGGAATGCTTTGCTAAAAAGAATTTTAAAGTTTAGTCTTGGCTCAGTAGGAATGTGTCATTATCAGTTAGCAATTTCTCCTTTGCATTACAGAATGGGAAATAGCTGTTGCACCTTTCCCTAAACCATCTTCATATAATCTGTCCTCAGAATTCCTTTTATATTCTTATGTCAATCTTATTGCTATAAATGATAGGAAAGCATTAGAAACATACATGTATATATTGTCTCTATGTCATCTTTTCCGAATAATTTAGATCTTTGGAGATGAGTTTATAGGCAACTTGGACTTTAATCCATTAAGCAAAACAAAAGCATTCAGGACTGGGGTGACCAATGAAGACTCTTGTAAGAAAAAAACATAGTCCTTGTCCTCAAGGAGGTGGCAATCTAGAAATAGAAATAAATAATAAAAACTAAGAAGGTAATAGGAGAATTATTTCCATTTATGTTGCACAAAATGCTATATTATCACAATGAAAGAGCAACTAACCTTTGTGAAGGAAGCGGGGATTTCTATGATATGGTAAACTTCAGAAAGGGGGCTTGAAGAAAAAGTCAATACATGCCAGGTAGCCAAGATGATGGGTGGTAGAAGAAGACATTCTACCTATAACCAAGACCATGACCAAATGAGTGAAAGTGCAGAGGTACTAATAAATAAGAGCTGTTCTTCTCTAGCAGAGAAGTTGGATGTGAAGGTGAATGAAAAGTGTAGGGAAGTGTGAAAAATGAGCCAGAAAAACCAGTTGGGTACAGTTTGTGAAAAGCTTTTTCTCCAGTAGACAATTGGGACTCTCTCAAATGGGTGTGGGG